CCCGGGTCTGTGTCGTGGCAGGGTACTATTCTACCACTAGACCACAGGTGCTTTTTTTTTGAACCACTGAATTACTTATACTTCGTAGTGGCGTATTACCAAAAGTTCTCTAAATCAATAGACTATCAAAATATTGTCTAGATAAACCTGTCCTATCAAGAAATTTAGGAGAATTACCATTGTATTATTCAAATGAATACAGATGAATGATCAACATAATCAAGTTTTACAGTAAAATATTTAAATAGATAAAATCATATTAAGCCAAAGATCAGTGACAAGTTATTATCAAAAGGTGTGACAAAAGAAAATAGAGAAGAATGTCTTATCATCAAGAGTGCAAGAAGATAAAAATGAAAAAATGAAAAAAAAAAAAAACACAGACCAAAATAAAGAAATTTTATCTTATTATACTACTTTTTAGACTTTTGTAAAAAGTAGAAGTGATTTTTTAATAATCTCTTATGACATACCTTCTACGCATTTTTTTTTCCTATATATGATTTTAAATAATGGAATTTTTATATACACACCAAAATAAGAGCCATGCGAGAATGATAACATATATGAATACTTTTGAAATTCTTTTTTAGGCACAAAACAAACGTACTCAATCAAAATGAACAAACAAATGAAATTGAACACAAGTTTGTATATCATGCGATAGATACCCCCATCATGCACTCGGCCTGGAAGAACGAAGGTAGTCGGTTCTGACTGCAAAAAGACACTTATCAAGTAGGTGACGGGCACCCAAGCTCTACAGTCATTGTGTCCCTGATCGAGTACGAATGGGCAATTAGTCTCTATAGCCAAAGTGTCCTTAACCAGGTATTCAACTAGCCCGCACAACTTTTGTCGTTATTTAATTGAGTGCATCAGCCGGGAGTCATCAATTAATTGAATGCACCAGCCGGGAATTGAACCCGGGTCTGTATCGTGGCAGGGTCCTATTTTACCACTAGACCACTGGTGCTTCTTTTTTTGAAGCACTGAATTACTTATACTTCGTAGTGGCGTATTACCAAAAGTTCTCTAAATCAATAGACTATCAAAATATTGTCAAGATAAACTTGTCCTATCAAGAAATTTAGGAGAATTACCTCTGTATAATTCAAATGACTACAGATGAATGATCAACATAATCAAGTTTTACAGTAAAATATTTAAATAGATAAAATTATATTAAGCCAAAAATCAGTGACAAGTTATTATCAAAAGGTGTGACAAATGAAAAGAGAGAAGAATGTCTTATCATCAAGAGTGCAAGAAGATAAAAATGCAAAAATGAAAAAAAAAAAAAAAAACAGACCAAAATAAAGAAATTTTATCTTATTATACTACTTTTTAGACTTTTGTAAAAAGTAGAAGTGATTTTTTAATAATCTCTTATGACATACGTTCTACGTATTTTTTCCCTATATATGATATTAAGTAATGAAATTTTTATATACACACCAAAATAATATCCATGCGAGAATGATAACATAAATGAATACTTTTGAAATCGTTTTTTTATATCATGTGATAGATACCCCTATCCGGCACTCGGCGTGGAAGAACGGAGGTAGTCGGTTCTGACTGCTAAAAGACACTTAGCAAGTAGGTGACGGGCACCCGGGTGACCTGGCTCTATAGTCAGTGTGTCCCTGATCGAGTACAAATGGGCAATCAGTTTCTATAGTCGGAGTGTCCTTAACCAGGTACTCAGCTAGCCCACACAGCTTTTGTCGTCAATTAATTGAGTGTACCAGCTGGGAATCGCTTTTGTCGTCAATTAATTGAGTGCACCAGCCAGGAATCGAACCCAGGTCTGTACTGTGGCAGGGTACTATTCTACCACTAGACCACTGGTGCTTCATTTTTTGAACCACTAAATTACTTATACTTCGTAGTGGCGTATTACCAAAAGTTCTCTTTTTTTTTTGTTTTTTTTTTTTTTTGAAAAACCAATGTGGTTGCATTTATATATGAATCGAAATACAGTTAGGCGGGATCCCATCCCAGTACATAGGTATAGAATAAGTAAAGGCATCTGACGCTAAATCATGTGCCATAACATTCTGTGATCTAGGAATAAAAATAACTGAAACGAAATTAAATGTAGCTATAAACCGCCTGCACTCATCAAGGACATAGCCAAGATATGATCGAGGTTGGATAGTTGACTCGAGATAGGTTCGCAAAGTTTGGCAATCCGTGTAAATTTGAACTGACTGTTCACCACGCTGTCTGAGCCACGATAATGCTTCCTTGCATGCTAGGGCCTCGGCCATAAGGGGTGAGAAGCAAGCTTGTGGTGGCACACAGCAAGCCAATACATAAGCTCCAATATGGTCTAATAAGAATAAACCGGTGTTTTCAAGGTGGCATTGTAACCTACGTCTATGTAGCATACTTTCGGATACGTTGGATGCTCCAGGGCAGTGGACGAGAATGGCAGCCGCACTGCCGAGACAGCCGAGATTGTCGAAGTTCGCGCTTGGGCGGTGATGATCTCGGGTGGCAGCCCAGCAGGTAATTGGTTCGGCTGTTGGGCGGTGAGACCATGCATTGCTTGCCACGTATTCTTCATGGTTATAGTTGCTAGCACAACTCTTTTCGGCAACTGTAGACAGGCATCCCAAACTGCTCCGTTTCGGGCTCTCCAAATATTGTATAGAATTCCGGCTACAAGTAACATTTCATTAGAGTCTAGAACATTCAAGACTGCCCTAAACCATTCATGAAAAATATTTTTGATAACATGGGTTAATGGAAGGCCAGATTGGGTCCAAATGGACTTTGCATAATCACACAAGACTAATGAGTGCATAACATGTTCATTGATTAATCCACACATGGCACATATCGGATCAACATCCACCCTCTTTATAAGTAAGTTGTTGGTTGTAGGAAGGATATTACTTATAGCTCTCCATAGAAACATTCTCCATTTAGGTGGTATTCGTAGCTTCCATAGGGTGTCCCATTTATCAAATCCCGAGCTACTCTCATAAATACCCACCACGTGCCTGTACCCATTCTTGACCGAGTAGCATCCGTTGGGGTCATCATACCAATACCATGTATCCTCATATTCCGGGGAGATAGGTATTTTTAATATTCTTGGCACATCACTTGGGTCAAAAATATCTGCTAAAATATGTGGGTCCCATGTACCAGTCGTCTGATCTATTAACCCAGATACCCTTGCATCCATTAGCTGTGGCGGCATTTCCGTTTAGATCATAGGGTCCATTTCATCCTGCAACCAGGGATCCTTCCATATTAGAGTTGAGTTACCATTTCCAACACGACGTCTCACTCCACCAACTATTAAATCATTGGCTACCATGATACTCCTCCAACAATAGCTAGGATTATTTCCTAGGCATGCTTCATTAAAGGGGCGGTTATAATAATACCTGGCTTTATAAATGCGGGCCACCAAGGAGTCAGGATTGGTAAGGAACCTCCATGCTTGTTTTCCTAGCATAGCCAGATTAAATGCTCTTAAATCCTTAAATCCCAAACCTCCATATTTGTTTGGGATACACAACTTATCCCAAGATTTCCAATGAATACCACGGTCCGTCCCAGAACCCCACCAGTATCGGTTCATTGTGCGTTCAATAGCAGATCAGACAAATATGGGCAACAAAAATACACTCATTGAAAAGGTAGGCATTGCCTGAGCTACACTTTTCAATAATATTTCTTTCCCAATTCTCTGCTTGATTTTGTCCTCAATGTAGGCAAAAGCTATTTTCTTATTTCTCCCCACAAAAGCTGGTAACCCCAAATATTTTCCAAAATTCGGAGCCTGAACCACCCCAAGGGTCTGTGCCACCATATCCCTGTCAGTCCCACTAGTATTCCTACTATAGCAAATACTAGATTTCTGATAGTTGACCATTTGCCCAGATAAGCTCTCATAAATAGTCAAAATATTCTTAATCTCTGTAGCTTCCTGCACATTTGCCTTAAAAAATAGTAAACTATCATCAGCAAAAAACAAATGAGAGATCGGGGGCGCAGCTCGTGCCACTCTACAACCATGAATTAAGCCATTAGTCTGTGCCTGCTGTAATAACAGAGAAAGGCCTTCTGCAAAAATAATAAATAGATACGGGGATAAAGGATCTCCCGGCCTGAGACCACGAGTGGGTAGTATTGCCTCCGTAGGAGACCCATTGACCAGGAACCTGTAGGAGACTGTGGAGACACACAACGTGATCAAATCCACCCACCTATCATCAAACCCTAAGGCTTTAAGCATCCCCTTTAAAAAAGGCCATTCCATACGATCATATGCCTTTGCCATATCCAGTTTAAGAGCCCCCCATCCACCAACACCACACTCCTTTCTATTCAAAAAGTGTCCCACATCAGCTGCTACTAAAATATTATCAGTAATTAGCCGATTAGGGATAAATGCACTTTGTGTGTCCGAAATAATACCTTCCATAAAGGGTTTCATTCTCTGCGTGATCATTTTGGCCATCACTCTGTAAACAACATTGCTTAGGGCTATTGGACGTAGATCAGATACTAACTCTGGGACATCCTTCTTTGGAATTAACACAACATTCGTTTCATTCAATACAGGGGGGAAAGTACGCTTATTCAAGCAATCAACAATATAATTTGCCATGTCACCTCCTACCACATCCCAGAAGTGCTGATAGAAACCAGGATTCATTCCATCCGGGCCTGGTGCTTTATCTGGGAACATTGCAAACAATGCAGCCCTAACCTCATCAACTACAAAAGGCTGAAGTAGTGCTTCGTTTTGTTCATGCGTGACTTTAGGCATTACTTTCTCAAACAGATTATGCCCACAAACAGGATTACTAGAACTAAACACACTGGCAAAATAATCCATAACCACATCCTTCATATCATTCCCCTCAACCCAATCCCCAGAACTATTCATAATGCGAGATATAGAATTTTTCTTTTTTTCGGTGAGAAGCATACCTGTGATAAAACTTAGTATTGGCATCTGCATTCTTGAGCTAATGTTGCTTTGCTCGTTGTTTCCAATATGCATCCTCATGGGCCTCCATATTACTCAACTCCACCTCCAGGCGCTGGAATTCAGTTAATGAGTCTGTATCTATTCTCCCCCTGAGTCGCAATTGATCCCTCCGGAGCTTTTTAATCCGCTCACCAAATTTATGATATCGGTCTCCCCCCCACTTAGCCAAACGATCACCACAATGCGCAATACAATCCTGTAATCCATTACCCCTCTTCTCATTCCACGACTCCTCTACTACAGGCCTGCACCCCTCATCATACAACCATGCCATCTCAAATCTGAACTGTCTTCTGTGTGTCCCTCCACTTCCTATTGGATCATGAATACCTAGGAAGATGGCGGAATGATGCGATTCTCTCATCAACAGATTTGCCACATTTGCTCCGGGGACTATATCAGACCACACATTCGTGGCTAGCACCTTATCTAGTTTCTCCTCTATCCATCTAGCCGTGCCCTTCCCCTTTTCCCATGTAAATTGATATCCACTCATCGGTAACTGAGATAAATCACAATAGTCCACAACCTCTCCAAACCCACGCAGAAGATAATTCGGGTGTGGATTACCCCCCCTCTTCTCGTACTGGAATAGAAGCTCATCGAAATCTCCAATCATGAGCCATGGTAAATCAGATTGCGAACTTAGGAATTTAATGAGATCCCATGCCTCCCTGCGTCTATTCCTCTCTGGAAAGCCATAATAACAAGTCATCCTCCAGTGTGGAAAACCAATCATACTAATCTCTATATCAACATAATTCTTCGAATAACTTATCAGTCTTGCCGTACTATTTCTTTGCCACAATAACCCCAAACCACCACTTAAACCACGTTCGCCCCCGGCTCGACAAAAAACAACCCCTCAAACCCTAATTTTACTCGAACACGTTCCGCATGATCCCTTCGTACTTTAGTCTCCATTAAAAATACAAAGTCAGGCTTCTTCTGGGACACTATGTCCTCAAGTTCGCGAACTGTATGTGGATTGCCCAAGCCACGACAGTTCCAGCTGAGCGTACTCATTGGGTCAGGCGGGTCTGGGAACCAAGACCCGCCATCTGCAAGTTTTTTGACACATTGTCCTGCACCACCTCCTCACTCACCGGTAAGGTAGCCCCGCCCACATCATCATTGACCGTACCAGCACGGCGTCTTTTAGCTGAAGCCACCACATCCTCATCCACCTCATCCCCACTCGCTACCATGTGCACATCTGCCATCCCACCCCAACTCGACAATACCGCACCAGGCTGCACCTTCGGTGGCGACGGTGTAACACCAACCGGCGGCAATAGCCATGACGCTCCAACCGGCCTCGGGCCCTTGGCCCTCCCTGCTCTCATCCAGGGTCCATACGGATAAAGTTCTGGTTTGATCCCGGAAACCCTAGCTTTCACACAGAATTTTTCAAGGTGCCCTAACATACCACATCAGTAACAAAAATTATGTAGGCGCTCATACTTCAGATTGACCCATCCCCAGGTTTTATCCCGGCGTATTAATTTCATTCTGCGCTTTAGCGATTGGTCCAGTGATACTACAACCCGCACACGGTAGAATGTTTTCCATGGCCCTCCAACCTGACGATCATCACACTTAATAAAAGTACTAACATAATTACCAACCTGTTCCAGAATTACGTTGGACGTGTACCCCATAGGCAAGTCATAGACTTGCAGCCACATATCCACAGTATCAAGCTTAACTTCCCCTGGCAAAGAACCATCACACACTTGCCGGTAGATCAATGTGTGATTCTCAAAAGACCATGGCCCATCCTGAAGCACCCGGAGCATATCCGTCTCATGATAAAAAGCAAACAGAAACAAATTCGCATGTAACTCCGTTACCCGTCGACCCATCACAAGTTGCCATGCCGATGCTAAGACCTGTCGCATGTACTCGACCTTGATCATCTTCCTTGTGAGAAAACACCCAACAATCGAATAAACCTTGCCTCCATCCACATCGATCGGCTGGAAGGTGTTGTCGGCGATCACACCTTCCTCCTCATCTTCAAGTTGCATGTCGGCCCACCGATCGGACAACGAGTCCTCGTCACACTGGAACGAGCCGTCACCGTGCTGCTGGGACCCTGACGCCATGGAGGCAGTGAACGGATGATTGGCGAGAGCTTCGGTCTGAAAAGAATGGTGATCGCACGGTGAAAAGAACAGGCAAAAAACCCCAGGAGGGAGAGATGGAGAGAAACCCTAGCTAGGGAGAGTACCAAAAGTTCTCTAAATCAATAGACTATCAAAATATTGTCAAGATAAACCTGTCCTATCAAGAAATTTAGGAGAATTACCATTGTATTATTCAAATGACTACAGATGAATGATCAACATAATCAAGTTTTACAGTAAAATATTTAAATAGATAAAATCATATTAAGCCAAAGATCACTGACAAGTTATTATCAAAAGGTGTGACAAAAGAAAATAGAGAAGAATGTCTTATCATTAAGAGTGCAAGAAGATAAAAATGCAAAAATGAAAAAAAAAACAGACCAAAATAAAGAAATTTTATCTTATTATACTACTTTTTAGACTTTTGTAAAAAGTAGAAGTGATTTTTTAATAATCTCTTATGACATACCTTCGACGCATTTTTTTCCTATATATGATATTAAGTAATGGAATTTTTATATACACACCAAAATAAGAGCCATGCGAGAATGATAACATAAATGAATACTTTTGAAATTCTTTTTTTATATCATGTGATAGATACCGCCATCCGGCACTCGGCCTGGAAGAACGGAGGTAATCGGTTCTGACTGCTAAAAGAAACTTAGCAAGTAGGTGACGGGCATCCGGGTGACCTGGCTCTACAGTCAGGTGTGTCCCTAATCGAGTACGAATGGGCAATCAGTCTCTATAGTCACAGCTTTTGTCGTCAATTAATTGAGTGCACCAGCCGGGAATCAAACTCGGGTCTGTACCGTGGCACTGTGGCAGGGTACTATTCTACCACTAGACCACTGGTGCTTCTTTTTTTGAACCACTGAATTACATATACTTCGTAGTGGCGTAGTACCAAAAGTTCTCTAAATCAATAGACTACCAAAATATTGTCAAGATAAACCTGTCCTATCAAGAAATTTAGAAGAATTACTATTGTATTATTCAAATGACTACAGATGATTGATCAACATAATCAAGTTTTACAGTAAAATATTTAAATAGATAAAATCATATTAAGCCAAAGATCAGTGACAAGTTATTATCAAAAGGTGTGACAAAAGAAAAAAGAAAAGAATGTCTTATCATCAAAAGTGCAAGAAGATAAAAATGAAAAAATGAAAAAAAAAAAACACAGGCCAAAATAAAGAAATTTTATCTTATTATACTACTTTTTAGACTTTTGTAAAAAGTAGAAGTGATTTTTTAATAATCTCTTATGACATACCCTCTACGCATTTTTTTCCTATATATGATATTAAATAATGGAATTTTTATATACACACCAAAATAAGAGCCACGCGAGAATGATAACATAAATGAATACTTTTGAAATTCTTTTTTAGGCACAAAATAAACGTACTCAATCAAAATGAATACACAAATGAAATCGAACACAAGTTTGTATATCATGTGATAGATACCCCCATCCGGCCCTCGGCCTGGAAGAACGGAGGTAGTCAGTTCTGACTGCTAAAAGACACTTAGCATGTAGGTGACGGGCACCCGGGTGACCTGGCTCTACAGTCAGTGTGTCCCCGATACAGTACGAATGGGCAATAAGTCTCTATATTCGGAGTGTCCTTAACCAGGTACTCATCTAGCCTGCACAGCTTTTGTCGTCAATTAATTGAATGCACCAGCCGGGAATCGAACCCGGGTCTGTACCGTAGCAGGGTACTATTCTACCACTAGTCCACTGGAGTTTCTTTTTTTGAACCACTGAATTAGTTATACTTCGTAGTGGCGTATTACCAAAAGTTTTCTAAATTAATAGACTACCAAAATATTGTCAAGTTAAACCTGTCCTATCAAGAAATTTAGGAGAATTACCATTGTATTATTCAAATGACTACAGATGATTGATCAACATAATCAAGTTTTACAGTAAAATATTTAAATAGATAAAATCATATTAAGCCAAAGATCAGTAACATGTTATTATCAAAAGGTGTGACAAAAGAAAATAAAGAAGAATGTCTTATCATCAAGAGTGCAAGAAGTTAAAAACGCAAAAATGAAAAAAAAAAAAGACCAAAATAAAGAAATTTTATCATATTATACTACTTTTTAGACATTTGTAATAAGTAGAAGTGATTTTTTTTTTCTAGGTAGTCGGTTCTGACTGCTAAAAGACACTTAGCAAGTAAGTGATGGGCACCCGGGGTGACCTGGCTCTACAGTCAGTGTGTCCCTGATCGAGTACGAATGGGCAATCAATCTCTATAGTCGGACACTCTATAGTCGGAGTGTCCTTAACCAGGTACTCAGCTAGCCTGCACAGCTTTTGTCGCCAATTAATTGAGTGCACCAGCTGGGAATCATTTTTTTCGTCAATTAATTTAATGCACCAGCCGGGAATCGAACCCGGGTCTGTACCGTGGCAGGGTACTATTCTACCACTAAACCACTGGTGCTTCTTTTTTTAAACCACTGAATTACTTATACTTCATAGTGGCGTATTACCAAAATTTCTCTAAATCAATAGACTATCAAAATATTGTCAAGATAAACCTGTCCTATCAAGAAATTTAGGAGAATTACCATTGTATTATTCAAATGACTATAGATGATTGATCAACATAATCAAGTTTTACAGTAAAATATTTAATTAGATAAAATCATATTAAGCCAAAGATCAGTGACATGTTATTATCAAAAGGTGTGACAAAAGAAAATAGAGAAGAATGTCTTATCATCAAGAGTGCAAGAAGTTAAAAACGCAAAAATGAAAAAAAAAAAGACCAAAATAAAGAAATTTTATCATATTATACAACTTTTTAGACATTTGTAATAAGTATAAGTTATTTTTTAATAATCTCTTATGACATACCTTCTACGCAATTTTTTCCTATATATGATATTAAATAATGGAATATTTATATACACACCAAAATAAGCGCCATGCGAGAATGATAACATAAATGAATACTTTTGAAATTCTTTTTTTATATCATGTGATAGATACCGCCATCCGGCACTCGGCCTGGAAGAACGGAGGTAATCGGTTCTGACTGCTAAAAGACACTTAGCAAGTAGGTGACGGGCATCCGGGTGACCTGGCTCTACAGTCAGGTGTGTCCCTAATCGAGTACGAATGGGCAATCAGTCTCTATAGTCACAGCTTTTGTCGTCAATTAATTGAGTGCACCAGCCGGGAATCAAACTCGGGTCTGTACCGTGGCACTGTGGCAGGGTACTATTCTACCACTAGACCACTGGTGCTTCTTTTTTTTGAACCACTGAATTACATATACTTCGTAGTGGCGTAGTACCAAAAGTTCTCTAAATCAATAGACTACCAAAATATTGTCAAGATAAACCTGTCCTATCAAGAAATTTAGAAGAATTACTATTGTATTATTCAAATGACTACAGATGATTGATCAACATAATCAAGTTTTACAGTAAAATATTTAAATAGATAAAATCATATTAAGCCAAAGATCAGTGACAAGTTATTATCAAAAGGTGTGACAAAAGAAAAAAGAAAAGAATGTCTTATCATCAAAAGTGCAAGAAGATAAAA